TATGTCCTGCTCGTCCTGTCCCTCCTCCTGCCAACTACCCTCGTCGTCGCGTTGTTCAAGAAGCGGCACCCAAAGCTCCGGAGGAGGAGGGGGAGGAGGAGAAGGAGGAGGAAGAGGAGGAGGAGGAGGAGGAGGAGGAGGAGGACCCCTCCCATGGGAGGCAGGCGTCTTTCGCCCCCCACCGGTTCTCTGACGCTCTCTCGGGGCCCGACAACGGCCCACGGAGGCAGCACACGCCGAAACCGCTCTGCCCGCCTGTGCCTCTCCAGGCCTCCTGCGCTGCCGAGCCCCCGCTCTGGACACGCGGCGCCGCGCGCCCCCCCGCCGCCGCACTGCCGCTCCCCGGTCCTCCGCCCTCTTCCCGCCGGTGCTGATGCTGCACTGCCTGGTGCATGTTTTTTGTTTTTTGTTCTTCTAGAGCTGAAGTATGAGCCCAGTGGGTCTGGAATTTGCAAGCTACAATAGGAGTCGAAGCTCCCAGCTAAGGGTCGACAGCACCGATCCTTCATCTTCAGCGGGCAGGTGGACTGGCTGTTCGGCGCAGCATAATCCAAACCCTGTCTCCACCCCATCGCCTCCCGGAGGGTGGGGCAAGGCCATGCCATCTCTGGAACTGCCGCCAACTGCCTGGTGCATGTTTTCTCAGACCACCCGCCCACACCACCAGCTCACGCTTTCTGGCGTCGCGGCCACGCGCGTGGCGGCGCGGCTTGGGGCGGGTCGGGCGGAGAGCGCAGCGCGCGGACCGGGCCAGCTAAAACGCACACTTTCGGCCGTCGCGGGCGCGCCCGCGTGGCGTCCGCCCTCCCACTTCGGAACAACCCCCACGCGCATCGCGCCCCACGGGAGCTCCACCTACCGCACACGTGGGCTCGCCCACGTGGCGTCCCTCGGCCCATGTCGACACACCGCTCGCGCGGATCGTCCCCAACGGGGAGCTCCACCTGAGGCGCCAGTGATGGCAGTCGCGCGGTGTCCTCCCGCGCCATTCCAGCACACCCCATCAATGCGGAGGCCGTAAAAGGTACTGATACCGCTAACTCCCCGGACCTCTCCGGGGCGGCGCTCTGATCAGGATTTCGAGGCGACTCCAGCGGTGGCGACGAGGGTCTCCCAGGAAGCCCCAGAAGGGGGACAGCGGGCGCAGGGTAGCGGCATGGGTACTTCTTCCTCGTCTGACACCCCTCACGCGGATCGTGCTCCACATGGAGCTCCACATACGGCCTGAGTCAATAATGACATTCTACTGGCGAAGCTTTCGGCGAAAAAAACGCCACTCAAAAAAAAAAAGATTTCAACCAAAAATGAGTGGCGTAGCGTTGGTAGAAGCGCAACTATCTGATTGCGAAAGCATGCGAGCCCGCGCGATGCTTCATGCCCAAGTAGGCTACTCCGAGAGAGGTGCGAGCAGCACGATTGGCACGAACTCAGGCTGAGTGGGCGCGTTCGCGCGGCATCCCCCCGGTCAGTTCGGCGCACCCCTTCGCGAAGGATCGCGCTTCAGCTGCAGGGCGCGCACGGGCTCGACTGGAGGCTCGCGCGGGAGCGAGGCGGAAGGGGCGGCAGGAAGAGGCCACCAGAGGCAGGGGAAGGTGAGCCACACGCAGGTCCATAACGAGTGTTCGACGCGTCGAAACTCTGGGAACGCAGGCAATGCCAAGGGGGTCGTCTCCTCCTCCTCCCTCTCCTCCTCCTCCTCCTCCTGCTGCTGTTGCTGCTGCTCCACCGCATCCTACGCGTCCTCCTCCTGCTCCTCCTCCCCCTCCTCCTCCTCCTCCTCCTCCTCCTCCTCCTCCTCCTCCTCCTCCTCGCCATCGTCGTCGTCGTTTTCAGGATCGGCGGTGCTGGCCGTAAGACCTTCGCAGTCTGGGAGACGCCCTGGACTGGGCCCTGGCAACCACCCGCATCCCAGCTCCCACGCCCCAGGCATCCGACGCCGTGACATGTTTTCAGAACGTGGACCCTTGGAGGTCTGGACCCCTCTCGGACCCGGTGCTCGTCCCAGGTCGCTTTTTTGGGGACGAGGGCCCCAGGGCTCGGCCAAGGGCCCCCGGGAGGCCGAGAATTGCCAAAAAATCCCGTCGTGATGTCTTCGCAACTTGAAGATGCCAAGGTCGGGTCGGGCGAAAGGGGGGGATAGCAAAGGGGGGGGGGAGAATCAGCTCACGTAGGTGATTTTCCCAGCGCCTCCCGGCGCCGGGGGCGGCTATGTATCGAAGAATGGGGCCCATTCCTCGATAGGGCGCCCATCCAATGGGCCCCTCCGTGGGGCCGAAACCAGCTGCCTGTAGCAAATGTCGTAACCCCCCCTTTCCCGATCCCCCCCTTTCGTCCGGCCCGACAAGGGGCGCCCCGGAAACGCGGGAGTGCTCGCGGCGATCGGGCAGCGGCGGCCGCGGCGGCCAGGGAGCGGGGGAGAGCCAGAAGCCGAACGCGGCCCACGTCTGGGCCAGAGGGCCGAGGCCCGAGGACTCCAGGGCGCACTCCAGCGGCAGGGCGCCTGGAGCTCGGGAAGGGGGGAGAATGGGGGGGGCAAGATGAATGTGGAGGAGGAGGAGGAGGAGGAGGAGGAGGAGGAGGAGGAGGAGGAGGAGGAGGAGGAGGAGGAGGAGGGGGAGGAGGGGGAGGAGAGGAGGAGGAGGAGGAGGAGGAGGAGGAAAGGAGAGGAGAGGAGAGGAGAAGGAGAAGGAGAAGGATAAGGATAAGGATAAGGATAAGGATAAGGATAAGGATAAGGATAAGGATAAGGATAAGGATAAGGATAAGGATAAGGATAAGGATAAGGATAAGGATAAGGATAAGGATAAGGATAAGGATAGGGATAGGGATAGGGATAAGGATAAGGATAAGGATAAGGATAAGGATAAGGATGAGGATAAGGATTAGGATAAGGATAAGGCCCTTGGGGGTCTGAGTCGCGACGCCTGAAAAAAAGGCAAGGCGCCCCCTGGGCGAACATGCGGATGCAGGCCCCCGTGACTGCCTGTCGGGGGCCGCCTGGCGCCTGGCGCGCGCCGCCATAGCAGCTGCGCCGTAGCAGGGAGACCCTGCACAGGAAGGCTGAATGGCGAACGCAGGCGGCCCTGGGTGTTCCCCGACTGGGACGAAACCAAGGCCGCTGAGAGCACTCTCCCCACCCCTCCCCCACTCCCCCAATCCCCACCACTCCTCACCACCTCTCTCGCCGATGTCGGCACGATGCGAGAGGGCAAAAAAATGGCCTGCTGCTGCCGCTGCTGCGTTGAGTGGGTGCCCGCCTGCCGCTCGTTGGCTACTCTCCGTCATGGTCAGCCTCGTTGGCGGGATAGTGCCGGACGGGGAAGCTTCTGGCGCTGGCAGATCGAGCCCCACCCTCATTTATACAATATAACAAAAACGAAGCAGGCTGCTGGCTGGTCTCACGGCTCACAACATGCAGCCAAGCCCCCACCCCGCCTTCTCTGCGACCGATGGGTCGCGGAGGTGAAGCTCCCCGCTCGGGCTCGGCGCACTCGGCTCCGCTGGAATGCCCGGCGGGGGCGAGGGCTGGAGCCGCAGCTGCGACGGCGACACTTTCACGCGCGGCGTCCAGCCCTGGATGGACTTGCTGGGGTTCGTGCACTTCAGGCGCTGCTGCGTGCCACTGTTGCGCGCCTGCTGCAGACTGTCGAGACTGCCCTGATCCACCACCTTCACCGCGTCGTAGCCCCAACCCTAGTCACTCTCCGTCAACTTGGCGCAGTGGCCCTCAGCCCGTCGATCTGGAGCCTCGCGTAGACCAGCTCCCACGGGTAGGGGCCCTTGTGGAGCCTGCTCTGGCTGCCGAGGATGCTCTCAACGCCGCGGTTGCGATCGATGGCCCCGCCGTTCTCGTCGGGCTGGTGCTTTGCAAGATCCGTCGCACGAGTGCGCTCGATATCCCCGTGCTGGTTCGGGCCCTTGCTGGCGGCGATCCTCGTCGAGCCCACGGTGATGCGGACCTGCTGCTTGTAGAGGCCGTAGGGCGCCATCTGGTTGTGCTGGATGAGGTCGTCGCATTTCTCGCCGGTGCTCTGCGGCGCGTCTCCAGGCGGCAGTGCGCGGTTCCGAAAACTTGGTCGCCGGGGGCGCCGCCGCGCTCAGCCAGTTTCTGGGTCGCGACCTGCCCCGTCGCCGTCGCCGCCTCTGGCGCAGGCGTTGTCGGCTGGGCCGCCGCGGCCTCCACCGCCCAAGCGGTCTGGCTGCGCTGGTGCGCCGCGCCAGCGGGGCGCTGGCGCCGGTAGCTCCAACTGGCCCCGCGCGCGGGAAGATGCCGAAACGCTCGGATCGAGTAGAAAGGGCCGCGGCGGGAAAGAAACTGGGTAATTCGCGTTGGAGTCGGGGCCCGTCGCCTTGCACCCCTGGCCCAGACCTGTCGTTTCCTGAGCTGGGGGGGCGCGCCGTAGTAGGAGAGAGCGGGCGTCGGCCCGCAGCTGCGTCGACGCGGCGGGAGAAGGCGAAGGGTCAGAAAGAGGCTTAGGCATCCTGGTCGGTCCAGCTCCTGGTGCTTATTTTCCTGGATCAGTCCTGGTTCGGCTTCTCCCTTGACTCCTGAGGCCCCGTAGTATAAGGTGATCTCTTGAGTGGCCCTTGATTGCCCCCCCTGGCGGGTAGGGTAGGTGAACGCCGATGTCGGCCCGCAGTCTTCTCGCCGGCGGGTTCCATGCGCAGGTGGGCCCATATTCGTCGCGCATATCCTTCTGTCGCGAGGTCTGGATTTCAATGGCTCTCTGCCTGGTGCTGCACCAGAGGTCGAAATGCCTAGCAGTGGAAGGTAGTGGTTCGGGGGGGCGACCGCAAAAATGAAAGAGTAGGTTGCCAGATAACGTTGGCCAACCTTTTTTTTCACTATTGCCCCGAAGCCTGGTATTACCCCCTCGAGCATAGTTTCCGCTAGTAGGCAGCAGTGCGGAGTATGTGCGCCACGCGGCCGCCGAATCGTGAAGCTTTTACTCGTAGCATCGCATATCGCTCGAAGTCGCTGCTGATCTGCATCGCGAGTTTTGCTTATCTGGTGCGCGGAGGGACTGCAGGGGGCCAGTCGCTGGATGGCCTTGGCCCCGCGGATCCTGCAGCGCTCGCGGGGCCTGCATCTGCTGTCGGCTGGGGGCAGCTGGGCTTCTCTGGTGGCTGGCTCGCTGTCCGCGGCGCCTGCTAAGCCGGGCCTCGACGACCGTCTCCAAGCCCGTCATCGGGCCCCTGATCGGTTCTTCTTGGCCGCTAAGAACGCCTGGGCTAGTCCCGAGGCCTGCTTGAACATGCCCCCTAGAAGCCTGGGGTCCACTTGCGCTGGGCCTTAGCCCTGCGCCGCTCCGTCTCCACCCCCTCCACCGACGGCTTGCGCGCCTCCTGGATCGCGCACTGCAGGAAGACTTCCGTCACGAACGTTAGTCCCCACGGCTGGTCCAGCTGCTCCATGAGCTCCAAGAGGGTCTTGGCCACGCGCTGCGTCGGCTGGTCGTTGCCCAGCACCTCGGCCTCGAGCGCTGCCGCGACCCCCTCCGCGAAGGCCGCCGCGACGTGGCCGCGAGGTGGCCCGCGTCCGCGGCCCTTGCCATCGGTCTTCACTTCCCCGCCGTGCTCGCGGCCTGTCTCCACGGGGGGCTGGGCCCGCTCTTCCGCGAGGAGGGCGAGCCATAACTCGCTCGCGAGGTGGGGCGGGGGGGGGGGGGGGCATCGGATCTCGGCTGAGTTCTGCGGGGCCAGCCGCTGTAGTGCATAGCTGCTGTCTCGCAGGTCTGCTTGCACTCCCCCTCCCCCCCCACCTGGGCCCCCCACCTCCCCCTGGGGGTCCGCGACCTCGCCCTCCTCCTCGGGCTCCTGGCTGGGACGCCCGCCCGCCACTGCCCTCGCCGATGTCGGCCTGCTTCTGCGGTCGTAGCTCTTCTGGCCGCGACGGAGGCGGGCGCTTGACTAGCCGCTCCATCGCCCCGACCTCGGCGTTTCAGGCTGCGCGCAGCTCCACCTTCAGCCGCCGCGATCTGGTCCGGGCCCGCGAGGTGCTGTCGCGCGCGCACCTGGTACTCCTCTATCGTTTGAGCCTGATGGGTACAGATCCGACACGTTAGTGCCCTGGGTTCTGGTAAGGGGCGGGCCCATTTGGACCTTCCCTGGTGGCATGTCCCGCGTTTGTGGACCGATCTCGCGGCACGGTCGATCTTTGTTTTTCTGTCTACAACCGTACTCTTACACCGCGGACACTGGTCGTTGACAATCACTGCTGCCGCTGGTCCAATGTTGCGCACTTCCCGCCAGCGCCCCGCATGCCAGGGCTGCGCAGGTTCGGCATCTCTGTCCACGTGCTGCCCCCACCCCCTTGCGTGCCCACAGTGGCATGATTACACCAGTCGGGTCGTAGTAAGTATTCCTCCTCTCCCCCATTGGCCCAGTATCCTCCTCCTTCGTCCTCGCTAGCGCACCCCAGTTTATCTCGTTGCTGTATATCATTTCGGGGTCTGCATGTAACTATTGCTTCTGCTCTATGCTCCCTGTCTCGAAGATGGCCAGATCAGAACCCCGTTGCGCGCGACATCCCATCCCCTCGTCTCGCTCGAATAGCAACTGCATGTCTGCTGCAAATTGATGGGCAAAGGGGTAGAACGCGGCCCGATCCAACTCATATCCGCAAGCCCCCTGGACCCCCGTGATACGTCTAATCGGGAAAAGCCAAACACTGCGGCGAGCACCGCGCCGCGCTCCTTGGGGCAGCGGGCCCAGCGCCGGCGCAACCCTAGCTGTCGCACCGTCAGTGATATACAAATATTGGAACGTTCCACCCTCCAGCACCTGAGTACTTGACGTAGGCTGTTGCAGCGCATGGCGCCGCCCCCCCCTTGCCCGAGACATAGCCCCCCCCCCCCCCCCTGAAAGTACATGTAAGTATTTGCCAGGGACACTGTCTAACGCATTGGTTCGCGCTGCGGTCGCAACGAACGCCGATAGTCCGCGGAGGGCCGCGCCGATGACGAAGGCCATGTACAAGAGTCGTTTGATCTGGCGCGGTGCGTCGGACGTCCAGAATGCACCGCGCTGCCGCCACGCCAGTCCCATCGCACTAATGCGCCCAGCGATTCCGCCGGGGATTCCCCGCCCCGCTGGCAGGCGCAGCCCCAGCGCCTTCATTTCTCCGAGGGCGAGCCCTCGTAATGTGGTGCTGCGCCGCAAGGCCCAAGTAGCACCGCAGTGGCCCCTGCCCACTAAGCATAACAGACGGTCGGTCTCGCCGCAGTTAAGGACCCAACCTTCTCCTTTCAGTGCGTCGGCCAAACGGTCGGTGGTGCTGTTGATTTGTGCATCATTCTCTTGCGCCGTGGCCATGTGCGGGATTGCCTGTGCGTGGGGAGCTCGTCCATGAACGCGTTGAGCCCTATGCCGTGCGTTTTGCCTCCCACTGGGTCGTCTGCGTCGCGCACAGTCTGGCATGGGTCGCTTCTCGCCTGCGACCGCCATGCGCTGAGGTGCTGACGGAAATGTTGCAAGCGTCGTTAAATTGTCGCGCGCAGA